ATACACATAACCTAGACCGAACAATGTAGCATATGACTTAACAAGTTGACACACAACTTATACACATAACCTAGACCGAACAATGTAACATATGACTTAACAAGTAAACACACGACTTATACACGTAACCTAGACCGAACGATGTAACATACGACTTAACAAGTTAACACACGACTTATACACATAACCTAGACCGAACAATGTAACATACGACTTAACAAAGTAACCAGCGACTTATAAACGTAACCGAGACCGGACAATGTAACATACGACTTAACAAGTTAACACACGACTTATACACATAACCTAGGCCGATCAATGTAACATAGGACTTAACAATGTAACCCGCGACTTATATATGTAACTGAGACCGGACAATGTAACATACGACTTAACCACGTCACACATAACTGAACAATGTTACATACGACTTAAGAATGTAACACACGACTTATCCACGTAACCAAGACCTGACAATGTCACATACGATTAAACCACGTAACACCTGACTGAACAATGTAACATACGACTTAACACTGTAACACGCGACTTATCCATGTAAACTGGACCGAACAATGTAACATACAACTTAATCACGTAAGTGACGGAACCAAGACCAAACAATGTAACAAACGACGGACCAATATGTCACTCGACTTGACCACGTTACCAAGACCGAACAATGTAACATACGACTTAACAATGTAACACACTACTTATACACATAACCTAGGCCGAACAAAATAACATATGACTTAACAAGTTAACACACGACTTATACACATAACCTAGACCGAACAATGTAACATATGACTTAACAAGTTGACACACAACTTATACACAAACCTAGACTGAACAATGTAACATACGACTTAACAATGTAACCCGCGACTTATAAATGTAACCGAGACCGGACAATGTAACATACGACTTAACAAGTTAACACACGACTTATACACATAACCTAGGCCGAACAATGTAACATACGACTTAACAAGTTAACACACGACTTATACACATAACCTAGGCCGAACAATGTAACATACGACTTAACAAGTTAACACACGACTTATACACATAACCTAGACCGAAAAATGTAACATACGACTTAACAATGTAACCCGCGACTTATAAATGTAACCGAGACCGGACAATGTAACATACCACTTAACAAGTTAACACACGACTTATACACATAACCTAGACCAAACAATGTAACATACGACTTAACAAGTTAACACACAACTTATACACATAACCTAGGCCGAACAATGTAACATATGACTTAACAAGTTGACACACAACTTATACACATAACCTAGACCGAACAATGTAACATATGACTTAACAAGTTGACACACAACTTATACACATAACCTAGACCGAACAATGTAACATACGACTTAACAAGTTAACACACGACTTATACACATAACCTAGACCGAACAATGTAACATACGACTTAACAATGTAACCCGCGACTTATAAATGTAACCGAGACCGGACAATGTAACATACGACTTAACAAGTTAACACACGACTTATACACATTACCTAGGCTGAACAATGTAACATACGAATTAACAAGTTAACACACAACTTATACACATAACCTAGGCCGAACAATGTAACATACGACTTAACAAGTTAACACACGACTTATACACATAACCTAGACCAAACAATGTAACATACGACTTAACAAGTTAACACACGACTTATACACATAACCTAGACCGAACAATGTAACATATGACTTAACAAGTTGACACACAACTTATACACAAACCTAGGCCGAACAATGTAACATACGACTTAACAAGTTAACACATAACTTATACAACAACCTAGGCCGAAAAATGTAACATACGACTTAACAAGTTAACACACTACTTATACACATAACCTAGGCCGAACAATGTAACATACCACTTAACAAGTTAACACACGACTTATACACATAACCTAGACCGAACAATGTAACATACGACTTAACAATGTAACCCGCGACCTATAAATGTAACCGAGACCGGACAATGTAACATACGACTTAACAAGTTAACACACGACTTATACACATAACCTAGGCCGAACAATGTAACATACGACTTAACAAGTTAACACACAACTTATACACATAACCTAGGCCGAACAATGTAACATATGACTTAACAAGTTGACACACAACTTATACACAAACCTAGACCGAACAATGTAACATACGACTAAACAAGTAAACACACAACTTATACACAAACCTAGGCCGAACAATGTCACATACGACTTAACAAGTTAACACACAACTTATACACAAACCTAGGCCGAAAAATGTAACATACGACTTAACAAGTTAACACACGACTTATACACATAACCAAGGCCGAACAATGTAACATACGACTTAACAAGTTAACACACGACTTATACACATAACCTAGACCGAACAATGTAACATACGACTTAACAATGTAACCCGCCACTTATAAATGTAACCGAGACCGGACAATGTAACATACGACTTAACAAGTTAACACACGACTTATACACATAACCTAGACCGAACAATGTAACATACGAATTAACAAGTTAACACACGACTTATACACATAACCTAGGCCGAACAATGTAACATACGACTTAACAAGTTAACCCACGACTTATACACATAACCTAGGCCGAACAATGTAACATACGACTTAACAATGTAACCCGCGACTTATATATGTAACTGAGACCTGACAATGTAACATACGACTTAACCACGTCACACATAACTGAACAATGTTACATATGACTTAACCATGTAACACACGACTTATCCACGTAAACAAGACCTGACAATGTCACATACGATTAAACCACGTAACACCTGACTGAACAATGTAACATACGACTTAACACTGTAACACGCGACTTATCCATGTAAACTGGACCGAACAATGTAACATACAACTTAATCACGTAAGTGACGGAACCAAGACCGAACAATGTAACAAACGACGGACCAATATATCACTCGACTTGACTACGTTACCAAGACCGAACCATGTAACAAACGACTTAAACACGTAACCAAGACCAAACAATGTAACAAACGACTTAAACACGTAACCAAGACCGAACAATGTAACAAACGACTTAAACACGTAACCAAGACCAAACAATGTAACAAACGACTTAAACACGAAAGACATGACTTAAGAACGTAACCAAGACCGAACAATGTAACCAACGACTTAACAGTGTAATACATGACTTAACCATGTAACCAAGACCGAACAATGTAACCAAGACTGAACAATGTAACATACGACTTAACCACGTAAGTGACGGAACCAAGACCAAACGATGTAACAAATGACTGACCAATGTAACACTCGACTTAACCACGGAACCACGAGTGAACAATGTAACATACAACATAATCACGTAAGTGACGGAACCAAGACCAAACGATGTCACAAACGACTGACCAATGTAACACTCGACTTAACCACGGAACCAAGACCGAACAATGTAACAAACGACTTAACAATGTAATACATGAATAAACCACGTAACCAAGACCGAACAATGTAACATACGACTTAACAATGTAACATGACTTAACCACGGAACCACGAGTGAACAATGTAACATACAACTTAATCACGTAAGTGACGGAACCAAGACCAAACGATGTAACAAACGACTGACCAATGTAACACTCGACTTAACCACGGAACCAAGACCGAACAATGTAACAAACGGCTGAACAATGTAACAAACGACTGAACAATGTACCATTATTATTATTAATAAAATCGGATACGACTTAACCACGTAAGTGACGTAACCCAGGGCGAACAATGACACACGACTGAAACATGTCCTATCTGACAAATGCGATTTACAAAAGGAAAACGAAACTTCTTCTCCTGTTTGGGTTTGGGGATTTAGTTCATACCTTGGACAGGTTTACAGCTAAAGGTGACGCTGAATGCCCTTGACCATACCATAGGACTTGTTCTTTTCGAACTAGTTTCTAATTAACTTGTTGACAACCTTGGTTTGTTTGTATGTTTGTTCGTTGTTTAAAGCCGCACTCAGCAATATTCCAGCAATGTGACGAAGGTCTGTAAATAATCGAGTCTGGACCAGACAATTCAGTGATTGACATCATGACCATCGATCCATGCAATTGGGATACGATGACATGCATCAACCAAGTCAGCGAGCCTGACCACCTGATCCCGTTAGTCGCCTCTAACGACAAGCATAGTCGCCTTTTACAACAAGCGTGGGTTGCTAAAGACCTATTCTACCCCGGATTTTCTCAGGTCTGATAACCTTGGTAGGAAAGAAGTGCATGTATACTAGTATATGTTTTAGGACATATAGTCTGTAATGAAACTATTTGACATTTAACCCACTAAATCAAAATGAAATGTTTACATTGCCTTATCTAAACGTTATGTGTACATACTTACATATATTAGCCTACAGTGGTATTGCGTATCGTCAATGGGTGGAACTGAACGTAAACAATAACATGCTCATAATCGATTATCCCGTGTATTACATCGCCCGCGCAGGGAGCCGCGCCCCTCCCCCATAACATACTTATACTGAACATATACACATTCCGAAATTAAAGTTTAAAGTAGAAAATGCATCAACAAAAATGGACATGCATACTAGTTATTTATTTACTCTAAACCAGACATGGTATACTGGTGTCGTTTCGAGAATTTATGCAAGATTGATCCCCAGTCTAGACATTGTAATTAGCTCCATGTGTGACAATACTGCCGGGTTGAAATAGCATAGTGGATTTTGAATGACTTGAATCTAGCCTCCTTGGACTGCCAATTTGCCTGACTCTGTTTTTCCTTAAAATTGTTTATTTAACATTTCTTGAAAAAAAAACACATTCATGACTCATTCAAACCAGAGACCATAAAATAGGTTTCTATTTTATGGTCGCTGTTCAAACTATTAAAAGCACTTTGCGTTTAAACCGAAGCTCTTCGCATGGTTTTTCTATCTCCATTTCCCCTGTATGGAGCTTTGGAATCTGGGTCGCTCTTCCGAACGCAGTCAGCAATGTTCACAAGTGACAAGCAAGCACACAAGCGTTAAACTTCCTTATTACAGCTGTGAGGTTAGTTCGCATTTTCGTCGCGTATACGTAATATAGTATTAATAAAACGTCATATAACAGGAATGTAGTAATTATTTCCGTTCCAGTGTTACTCAAATGGGAGGGGATGTTTTCAGTCTCTTGATCCCTGGTGTTGATAAAGAAAGTTGAGACTCGGTTCTGAATTTAACCTAAAAGCCAAGTTAATATGCATCGTTCCTGCCTTATGGTAAGATTTGGCAAACGCATTTTTGAATATTTTAACGGTTCTAAGCACTTATATTGTTCCATATGTTTTAATTGGTGGAGTTTTCAGTTTTGACAGACCTGTGACAAAGAAATGTTTGCGAAAATTTTGATTGATTTTCCATTTACCGAATTCATGCTTTCTGCTCAATATCTGAATCACATAAGATTGCATGGATATCGTCATTACTAATTCAAGAAGAGTGTTTCAATGCTAACCATCCGAATATTATGTTGTGTGCAAAAACCTCATGCCGCATGCGGTGTGAGAAATTTACTTGGGTGCCAGAGATCTTTAGATTTTCTCCTATAGCCTGTTTTTTTTCAATCCAAGAACTTGACATAAGCGTTTGAGAAGGACCCCTTAAATTTGTCCTTAATTTTGAACACTGTGTTGTGGTGGTCGTGACACAATGTAAGTGGAAATTCATCTATAACTCAGTGTATGGTATCTAAAGAACAGGATCAGGGTTAGAAACTAACATTTTTTGTCCACTAGTCCTTATAATGATAACATATAGCAAAACCCTTAAAATGGGCCAATTTCTACTAGTCCTTAGGTTACTTTTACTATTGGGCAGTTTGGTAAGGACTACAGGACTAGTGCCAATTTCTAACACTGAGGATCATGTAGACTACATGATGTAACTAGTGTAACTAGTAATCTGTACCAACAAACTTGAAGACCCATCTGTTAGAACAGAATATTAGTTACATGGCCCTGTGCTTAAAGCTGCCGGCCCTAGATGTACTATGGAATATTCTGTGTAAATTCATTCATAACCTATGGTTTGTTGTTGTATCAAACTTCATGAAAATGGATAGGTTGGCTAGGAGGGTTGGTTGGTTGGTTTGTTGTTTTACGCCGCACACAGCAATATTCCAGCTATATGACGGCGGTCTGTAAATAATTGAGTCTGGACCAGACAATCCAGTGATTAATATAATGAGCATCGATCCACGCAATTGGGATCGATGACATGCATCAACCAAGTCAGCAAGCCTGACCACCCGATCCCGTTAGTCGCCTCTAACGACAAGCATAGTCGCCTTTTTACAACAAGCATGGGTTGTTGAAGACCTATTCTATCCCGGATTTTATCAGGTCTGATAACCTTGGTAGGAAAGAAGTGCATGTATTCTAGTATATGTTTTAGGACATATAGTCTGTAATGAAACTATTTGACATTTAACCCACAAAATCAAAATGAAATGTTTACATTGCTTTATCTAAACGCTTTATCCTTTTACGACAAGCATAGTCAGCTTTAAGGCAAGCATGGGTTGCTGAAAACCTATTCTACCCCGGAATCTTTTTACGGGTCTGGCTAGAAGGGAGTCCTGATAGGTTCTACATGTGTAAGATCATTCTGCAGTTTATTGTAATTGTTTAATGTACAAAAACAATGAAATACTTCTCTAGTGTAAAAATTAATTTACTGCTCAATTATTTAAAAATTAGGCATCTGAAAATGTGTATTACTCTCTATGTATGATTTGAGCATGGTGGGTCACCACTGTCCAATCTGTTTGGTAAAACAACTAGAGCTAACTTCCATAGCATTTTTTTAAAACTCAGATTATTGGTTGCTAAATTAGATTTCTAATCCATTTTCTTCTTGATTTTACACAGTTAAATTGTTACTGTTTGCCATTGTTACTGACTAAAATCCCTAAATATTAATGCATACTGACTAATGACCCTGTTAGAATGGAGCTATTTGTATGTTTGTACTCAGGCTTTTGGGTTGAGGTCCATATTTCTATGTTGTCACTATTCAAGTATGTCACTGTAACAGAAAATGTTTAGGTTATTTTCCACCCCTAAGATCACATAGTTCATTGTTATGCCATCATCTACTGGTTTGTTTGGTCCAGACTGTATTACGGTACTTACGCTGATAGGATTATTTTAGAAGGGTCCCTGTTTACATGTATACTGAAATGTATCCTTACATACTTTGAATTTATCATCAGTGTTAGTATGTACTACACTTCAGTGTTTGAAATTAAGGAGAGTCCTGAGGTCTTTGAGGTGTTCTTTGGTATTTGAATATCGGAACCCCCTAAATATTTAACTTTTAACATAGGGTTATGACAAGGACATCTTGAATTTCATACTTATTTTCAAACATTGCACTTGATAATTGAGGATGCTTTTTTGGAGAGTCTGGATGGATGTAACCAACCATTTTAACATAACATTCATTTGATAAAATATAGAGTGACAGAGAAAATAAGTTATGTACTCACTTTGGCAAAATTATTCAAACAACCCTTCTTTTGCTCTACTGATAAGTGACACAGACATTTCTTTTAACCTTCGACATAAAACATCCCTGCTTAAAATTCCATGTCATCTTTGCTCCTATACATTCGCGTTCTTATTTTACGTGGTCAATCAGCTCAAACTGAGATTTATTAATGTACATGAGTATTTATTGGACACTGACAACCTATGTTCATCAGATATAAGTGACCGGAAAGATATATTTCATTCAAATTTGTTGTAGCATCGATGCAGTTGACATCATCTTCCTCTGTGTGTCATGTTTCAGGATGTGTGGTCACACTTCACACAACACACAGGAAGAGTTGATACATAGGGGGAACCACAAGTATGGAACCTCTGACTCCATGGTTCATGAGTATTTCACACTCCCTGGTGAAGGCCTTCCTACATTAAACATTCCTTGCTAGACATTGATTGTGTTCTGGTGTGTGAAGTAAGTATAATGTAACCATGGCCAGGACATGCTGTGTGCTGTGTGCGGTGCTCTTTGGGATTCAAGTCATACAAGGTAGGGATTGTAAAATTTATTATTGATAAGTTTAGGCTACAATCTAAATTTGTTCATATTTGTTCGTGCTTTTATACATGGTTTATGCAGATTGTTTTTACTCATGTACATTATGATGATGTAAGAAGTTATAATCATGATATGATGTTAAGTTCTAGGGCATTATTTTGTTCACTGATGCAAAACGAAAACAATTCTTACTGTTCTATTTTTTCGCATGGTGTGAATAATTTCATTATCATGATTATGTTTTCATGATCTTTATTTCTTTTGCAAGTTTTGAAGTAATCACCTGCCATTTCTATTTACTGAAACTAATATTCTTAGAAATAAGAAGTTGTTAAAGCCTTGATGTACCTCAGACAGTGTCTCTGATAGTTTTCTGTTACTATGGATACTGTTTTAGTGTGGGCTGTCAGTCCATGTGAGGATACACCTAACTGGGTGGGATATTGTAGAGGCAGCACAGACTGCAGCTACCCAGTCAGTGTATCAAGCCAAGCATACAGCCACTGTAAGAAGACCTGCAAGATCTGCGAATCAGGTAGATGTGCCTGTTTACCTATCATTCATTAACACTGTGAGATCAGTAGTACTCATGGGTACATCTGGGGAAATGTTAGGTGTTAAACTGAAAATAAGACTGAGCTGACCAGTCCTTGTTTTAGCCCTTTATGCTGAGCGCCAGGCAGGTTAACAACAAGTACCATCTTTTAATATCTTTAATTGTGATGCTATAAGTTGGGGATGCTTCTATACAGCAAGGAATGTTTATATCCATCTCCTTTCCTGAGTGTTGAAAGCAAAAATACAAAACAACTCTGCAAAACATGTTTTTGTTGCCGTTGTACAAAGTTCAATTTTGTATGTGCCCGCAGCAGTACAACTTCTCTGTGTGTTCTTATTGAAATGGGGAGCATGGGTGGCCCAGTAGTCCAAGGTATCACAATTCACTGTACAGAGTTGCATCCCTTGAGCACACCAGAAACCTATGATTGTGGGTTCGAATCCTGATTCACCCTGATTATGTTTCTAGGTTTGTCATTACCATACAAATGCTTGTGGGTTTTACCAAAGAGGTAATTGTCTGAGACCTGCATCACTTCGGGCTTTCCTCCAACATTAAGCTGACATGCCATGATATTATTGGAATACTGTTTAAACCAGTGTTAAACCCAGCTCACTCACTCATGCTTATTGAAATGTGGGTCTGTTGTTAAGGCAGATGAGAACACTGTGATATAGCATGTAGGTATTTCAGGAATGATCACAAACTAAGTGTCCTCTGCCATCATCTGACAAAACCAAACCATATGTTTCAAGTATACAAATATCTGTTCAGATGTGCTGACATGTTGGAATTAGTGGATTGTGCAAAAATCTGTAAGTCTCTTAAAGAATGAAAAGAAAGCCTAGTTAAAATAGGAAGGACTGGATCATTTGGCGCGAAATTCTTCAGTCATGAGCAGTGATGAGTAAACTATGAAAGTGAATGTGTCACCTCACACGTAAAACCTGAATGTGAGGCTGGTAGTATAAGATTATTTGATTTGTTTATAATATGTGTGAATTGTTAAATGACATTACTTTATCGCTTCCTGACTGTTCCCAGACACAGCGTGTGCTGATGGCTACTATGGTGCAGACTGTAAGCCCTGTGTATCTCGCTGTAACAGCAGCGGCCAGTGTGAGGACAAGGGGTCCAGTGAGTGTCCACAGACATGTCCAGATGGTTACTACAGCTTCAACTGTAATAGGAGATGTCCTAGCAACATCTGTGCTGCATGTAATCGGTGGTCTGGAGAGTGTGAGGCATGTAAAGATGGAAGCTATGGCAGGAAATGCCTCCAAAGATGCTCAGAACATTGTATGGACAAAACTTGTGACATAGATAGCGGAGAATGTCTTGATGGGTGTGAACCTATGTGGGTGGGTGAGAAATGTGATGTTAAAGAAGTAATCTGTGAGAACTGCAATCTTCATAGCTGTACAGATGACATGACATGTCTATCTGGTTGTAAGAATACATGGTATGGCCCCAAGTGTGACCAACAGTGCAAAAATTGTAAAAAGAAAAATTGTACCAGTTCTGGTGTCTGTCAAGCTGGATGTATAGCTGGCTTCTATGGGAACACATGTACTGAAAGCTGTAGTGAGTTTTGTGACAAGAAACGATGTAATCAGACTGGCTACTGTAACAACTGTGTGTCAGGAAGACACGGAGAAGACTGCACCAGGATCTGCAGCACCAACTGTGAGGGCCCCTGCTACAGAAATACTGGGAAATGTAAAGACTGTTCAGTTGGATGGTATGGACGGTTTTGTACAAAATCCTGCGACAACTGTCTGAATGGATGTGAGAGAAAAGGGAAATGTAAAGATGGTTGCAAGTTAGGCTGGTATGGGGGAAAGTGTACTACACCTTGCTCCAACTGTTTTAATGGTTCCTGTGAACAGTCCTCAGGACATTGCGAAAGGGGATGCAGTCCAGGATATCATGGTATTAAGTGTGACCAGCTCTGTGGTCAGCATTGCAAGGACAGCGTGTGTGATCAGACATCTGGACTTTGCATTGAGTGCAAGGACACATGGTATGGGGCTAACTGCACCAAGGAATGTAGTTCCTCCTGCAGCAATAGTCATTGTGTGACAGACTCAACTGGATCTCCTGAATGTACCCATGGATGTGTTGATGGCAAGAAGGGATCTTACTGTCAGAAGCAATGCCCAGATCAATGCTATAACTGCACAGATGATAATTGTATGGTATGCAAGGACGGTTTTCATGGAGATGATTGCAGAGAGACCTGTCCAGCCAACTGTGAACATGGCTGTCAGAAGGACACAGGATTGTGTACATCATGTAAGGTTGGCTTTTTTGGCACTCAGTGTCAGTCGTCCTGTATTTTCAGATGCAAAGCATCTGACTCAGGGGATCAGTTCTGTAGCTTCAGTGATGGAGCTTGCCTCAATGGCTGTATTGACACAGTATATGGGACTCGTTGTGATCAGAATTGTAGTGACACCTGCAGAGATCAGACATGTAATGACAAAGATGGTACCTGTACAAGCGGATGTATGGAGGGCTGGAAAGGTCCCAAGTGCAAAACCACATGTCCATCCAACTGCAAGTCATGTACCGACATCTCCTGCACTGAGTGTAATCCAAGCTGGTTTGGTGACAACTGTCGGAGAGAATGTCCAAATTGTGCTGAGGGGAACTGCATTCGACGATCAGGTGTTTGCCAAGAAGGATGTCTACCAGGGTTTCATGGTAAAAAGTGTGACCTCAAGTGTGCCACATATTGTAAAATGCGTGAAGGTACGTACAATTTTGTTTATTGTGACCAGAATACTGGTCGATGTCTCGACGGCTGCACAGATGGACATTATGGTGACCTGTGTAACAGAAACTGCAGTAAAACGTGTCATGCGCATGTCTGTGAGCAGAACTCCGGAAAGTGTAACAATGGCTGCCAAAGCGGTAGACATGGGGACTTCTGTGACCGGAAGTGTAGTGTACGTTGTGGGAGATCCACTGACAGACAGTGCATCCAGGCTGATGGTTCCTGTAATTTAGGCTGTCTGAAAGGCTGGTATGGATCCCACTGTGACAAGAACTGCTCAGATGGATGTTATGAAGGAGCCTGTAGACAGAGCTCAGGACTGTGTGTGCAAGGTTGTGAGAAGGGCATCATGGGAGACACATGTGACACTGGTAATTATGACATACATTGATATTTAATTTTATGTTTATTGAAAAGAGAGGTTTGTGTTTACTGTCTTTCTTGGGACAAATAGAGTTTGGAATTTGCAAATTGCTTCCCTTGTAACAACTTCAAGTATGATGTTATAGTTAAAACACTCCTCCTTCTCCGTTTTGGTTGAACATGTAAAACCTTGAGCTTGGGAAAAGCCCCCAGGCCATTACATTTTCAACCAAATCCAAGGAGAAAAATTAACCAACATTTGAACCCTCTAAATGCAAGAAATACCAGAAAAAAAAATCTTGAAAACTTTGGGATACCTTATAGTGACTCAGTACATTTGTCTGGATAAGAACAAATTTGATGACGGAGGATGAGAGAAAGACCTTGTTTAGCATACAAACAACTGAAGTCAAGACATTGACCACCATTAATTGGACACCTTTTTATCACCTGCCCGAATGACTTAGTGGGATAGTAGGTTACAATAGAAGACATGGTACAGGGATTTAGACCTGATTAGAACTTTTATTCTTTTTCCAAATTTTGAACTACCGTAATTAATGATAATTCCCAATTGGCCTGCAAGGCTGGAATCCTATACAAATGTGAGGTTGCAGGTTAGAATCATGTCTTGGAATTTTCATGTGAAATCAAGTGTGACTTTTAAGCAGTCAAATTTAACCAGTCAGCCAATAATAAGTTTATGCAATTTAACTGTAAAACCTAGGTCTTACAATTCAAATGTAACACCTCTTCCCAGGTCTCACTTGAAAGAAGTGCATCTCACAAGATTACTATGGGAAAGCATGATACTACAATACTATTGACCAAAGTTGCAGTAGGTTTATAACACATGCAGCTGTGGGCATTATGGTAACACTAGTTGTTGCAAAGGGAGGAATCTTCTCTGTAATCATCATTAATCATGTTCATATTTCTGGAATTATATACAAGATTATTAATTTTATTTTCATATATATTTTTGCTCCTCTATTCCTCAGTCTCCTCTGTTTCTAGCATGTCCTTATGGTCGCTATGGCTACAACTGCAGTGGAACATGTGGTTACTGTAGAAGCAATGCTACCTGTGACAGTATCCACGGCAACTGTTCTATGGGATGTGCAGATGGTTATGGAGGCTTCTTCTGCTCTGACAGAAGTGAGTATATACATTTGTTTTACATCAGGTTTATCAAAATTCAGTGTTCAGATAACACGCTGTCTGGCGAGCTCCTCAGTTACCTGCATCATGACCACATAACAAAAGATTACAAAATCTTTGATTCCATAAATTATGCTGGACGAGGTGAGGTGGTGAGATGAAATGGGGTTTAACGTCGCATGCAGTTATATAGCGATGTGCATGTACGTGTGTGTGTTTGTGTGGCTGCTTGTACTAGTCCGGACTGATGCCGATTTATAGTGCGAGCTCACTGAGATACCATGCCGCAGTTTAACATGAATACCCCACTCAGACACAGTATACTGACTCCAAGCCGACCAGTCCTTGTTTTAGCCCCTTAATGCCGAGCGCCAGACAGGGGAACAACAAGTACCATCTTTTAACGTCTTTTGGTATGACGTGGTCGGGGATCGAACCCCGGACCTTCCGCTCTCCGGGCGGACACTCTACCACTAGACCACGGAGGCGGTCTTACACTGGACGACCTTTGTGGGATTTTAAATTAAGTTCTTTATAAATGATTAGACTCATCTGCATGTGAAAAATCCATGCATGCATGAACTGTTAATAAATGAAACCATAGTTTCACTGCCAACACTGTTTGTCACAAACATCTTTTACTCACTTGCATCCAGTGACCATTCCAGAAGAAGAATAAAAAGTACTGTACATATTTTTCTGTTTCAGTGATAATCGCACCATCGCCTGGTCCTAAAAGTGCAGGACCAATTTCCTTTACCATGATCCTAGCTGTGGTGGCCATCTTGCTGATAGTGGTCCTCCTGGTTGTAGGTTTCCTAGTCTACAAAAGGTAAAGTCTGTTGTTCCTGACAACATGGACAATAGTACCATGTAGGTTTCCTAGTCTTCAAAAGGTAAAGTCTGTTGTTCCTGACAACATGGACAATAGTATCATGTAGGTTTCCTTGTCTACAAAAGGTAAAGTCTGTTGTTCCTGACAATAGTATCATGTAGGTTTCCTAGTCTACAAAAGGTAAAGTCTGTTGTTCCTGACAATAGTATCATGTAGGTTTCCTAGTCTACAAAAGGTAAAGTCTGTTGTTCCTGACAACATGGACAATAGTATCATGTAGGTTTCCTTGTCTACAAAAGGTAAAGTCTGTTGTTCCTGACAACATGGACAATAGTATCATGTAGGTTTCCTAGTCTACAAAAGGTAGAGTCTGTTGTTCCTGACAACATGGACAATAGTACCATGTAGGTTTCCTAGTCTACAAAAGATAAAGTCTGTTGTTCCTGACAACATGGACAATAGTATCATGTAGGTTTCCTTGTCTACAAAAGGTAAAGTCTGTTGTTCCTGACAACATGGACAATAGTATCATGTAGGTTTCCTAGTCTACAAAAGGTAGACTGTTGTTCCTGACAACATGGACAATGGTACCATGTAGGTTTCCTAGTCTACAAAAGATAAAGTCTGTTGTTCCTGACAACATGGACAATAGTATCATGTAGGTTTCCTTGTCTACAAAAGGTAAAGTCTGTTGTTCCTGACAATAGTATCATGTAGGTTTCCTAGTCTACAAAAGGTAAAGTCTGTTGTTCCTGACAATAGTATCATGTAGGTTTCCTTGTCTACAAAAGGTAAAGTCTGTTGTTCCTGACAACATGGACTAAAATCGTGTAGGATTCCTAGTCTACTAAAGGTAAGGTCTGTCAACACTTTTTCAATAATGAAAATGAGTATTGAACCCATAGGTCATATTTTAGAACCTGATGCTGAATACAGTCCTACATTGTAAACTAATGTAGGAAAGATGTCATATATTTATACATTATTGTAATTGAAAGCGACAAAAGCAATTTCGAAAATCATAAAAAAGTCTCCATTGAGTCCATTGTACGATTCCAACTATAGCATGAGCCTTTGTTATTGAATCTGTATGAAATAGTGATGATACCTGGTGATCGCGAAAACGTGGGCATGTCCTGCCCCATCGTTGGCACCCATCATAAGCCCATGCCAGGGCAAAGCCTGAATAACACAATATATGATGCAGGTCAAATTAGAAACAATTGAAACCTTTACCAAGAAAAGCATTCTCACAATATTCAAAATAGTTTGATAAAATTTATATTTATAAAAGTATGTTGTTACTGACTATATTATGTACATATATACTTACAAAATGACGTCATACTTACTTTGTGCTATACATTAAAGAAAAATTACAAGGGGAGTGAGACGTTTTTCCATATCTACCAAGAGGGATGAAGACGAATACGAGATGATATCTGTGTATCCTAGTGTGGATACCATTTCAGATCTCAATGAAGGTTATATAGACTTGTTTATATCTTTATATGTCAAATATTTAATAACGTTTTTTCATGATAATATATGTTGCTAGTTCAATTGTCTGTCGTTCTTTTATCTTGTGACTAAATATAATTTTGTAAACAGATTGATTACTTTCATATCTAAATAAGGTGCCTTGAAATTATTTCATTGTGAAAATCTCAACCTTCAACTGTTATCTGCCGTTGGTCATGTCCATATTATACCCAAACATAGTAATATCTTCAACACTCCTTGTTTGTGTAGTCCCTCCCAGACTACCTACATGCGGAGTACATGAAAGAACAGAAAACCAAAGTGGAAACAGGCCTCAAGTCGGAGAGAAGAAAATGGACGATGACAGTGCCTACTGCAACGTACCCTTGGTTACCAGAGTGATGACAAATACACTCCAGTACCATGTCAAGCAGCTTAGAAAGCATGGCGGTTTTCAGAAACAGTTCGATGTGAGTAAAATTTCGTACCACGTAGATTCTCAACTTATTTTTTTATTTTGGGGGGCAATCGCAGAAAAGAGAAAATTTCAATTCTGTCAAAACATTATGTTTTCAACTGTGCTCTACACACTTAAGGAAAGAGTATGTATTTGGCATTTGTTGTAATCGCGGTGTTCATAGGTATAGTTATATCACTTTCCTCCTGGATTGCGGACAATTTGTCCAGAATCTGAAGAATACTGAGAAAACAATATGTGAAATGCTAGCCATCCTCATAGATAACATCTAATGTGAAAATTTGGGGATAGGACAAGGCAAGAAGCAATTGGACGACGTTATTTTGTAAGAGTAAAGTGTCTGATGAGTTGTTTCCTATAGACCTTGGCATGGCAGAACCGTAGAAAACGTAACGCGCGAACGATGGCGTCCAAAAGTAGGAGAGATACGACAATCGGTTTGGGTAGAAAAGGTACATTATCGACCTGATAATTGTGAGAATATCCGAGAATTACCAAACATTACCCCTCTGTTGATAAGATGGACTTTTCCGACATTGTCGTGGTCTAAAAAACATGTTAAGAATTTTACTTAAGCTTGAGAGATGACAAGATATCGTTCAATTATTGTGAGATAGTAAATTCCATACCATTGGTTTACAGGCTTCAACTAGGATAGGAAAGTGATTGAGTGGGTATGGTTTTATGCCGCTTTTTAGCAAATTTCCAGCAATATCACGGCGGGGGACACCAGAAATGGGCTTCACACATTGTACCCATGTCGGGCATCGAACCCGGGTCTTCGGCGTGACGAGCGAACGCTTTAACCACTGGGCTACCCGACCGCCCCACAATAGGAAAGAGACCAGTGAAATAGTATCATCTGTAACACCCTTAGAGCAATGCATAAAGATTCAAAGTGACAATAAAGATAATTCAACTGAGTTCTTCTTTTAGAAATTGCCGTCGGGTTTACTACATAATTACAATGCTGCTATGAAGAATGGAAACAGGCAAAAGAACATTTACAAAGAAGTGTATGCCTGTGAGTTTTAGATATATAGTGAGGATGTAAGTGGTAGCTGGTCATGATCTCATTCCCGGATTGTGAAAGTTATGTGATGACTGTATACATTAGTCGAGGGACACATTTCAATTTCAATATCCTGTTCAATTTTTTAATTCACTTTATTGAATGTCAGCGACCTAGTTTCAATAGTCAGTATACTGTGTCTGACACACACACACACACACACACACACACACACACACACACACACACACACACACACACACACACACACACACACACACACTGGTTTAAGGCCAGAATTTGTGTATCCAATCTCTATGAATCATCTAAGTTTAAGAGACACCCACTATAATTATATCAGTTAATAAATCCTTTTAAAAAAAAATAGTGTCGTCACTCGTCAAATGCAGGTAGCGCGTATTATATCCATTCTTTGTTGAGACATTCTTCCATTGCATCGTATGTCTTCATTTTCAGATGACAACACACGTGTGATTCTTGAGCTCAGCGAAGACAACTCTTCTTCAGATTACATCAATGCTAATTTTATCAGTGTGAGTAGAGTTAGCAGCTGTCACACAATGTTCAGAAGAACATTTTCTTTCTGATCAAGTGTTTTGTACATGACAAAGGACTACTTTTATTGAATGGATTTAGAACACCGGGGATACTGTTTTGCATACGTCTGGAGCCCAACTTTGTTTCTTAACTTGTATGAGTCTATACTTGTGTTATATTCTACCTTTGAGTAAGATGGACACAATGAACAGCTGATTATACGATGATAGGTTTTTACCTGTTACTTTACACTATTAACTGTATGTTCGTGGTTGTCTTTCAGGGTGTCGACGATCCAAACAAGTTTGTTGCAGCTCAAGGTAATTGACCCCAAAACATCGAAAATTTGGTGTACCTAATAAACTTATAATTGACAGATATTTGTTCTTACTTTTTCAGGTCCTATTGATAAAACCATCTGTGATTTCTGGTTGATGATTTTCCAACTTCGTACGAGCAAAATTGTTATGCTGACCGGCACAGAAGAAGAAGGACGAGTAAGGCACTCTAGTTCCACAACCTTTGTTATAACGCTTTTTCAAATATCTGGGGAAATGAATCATTAAGTATGGGCCTTGCTTTAAGGAAAACTCTTTTTTATGTATTTATCGGATTCTAAGACAGGATATGTAATTATTGTGGTTGCCATGGATAAGCAACTTGTATAAATGTCAGCGCGAAATCCAAGAGGATCTTTCAAAATGGAATACATGTAAATTGGAGATTATCATAGATGATGATGATGATGATGATGATGATGATGATGATGATGATGTAGGGGAAGTGTGTGAGGTACTGGCCACTGCATGGTTCAGGGCCAGATCGCCATGGCAATTTGGAGATTGAGTGTTCCACAGAAGAGACCCTGGTACATTGCACAGTCAGGACATTCAAGATGTGGAAAATACTTCCGGTATCTATAATACTGTTATCACACTTCGTGAATAGTCCGACTGTCACATATCTTCCATGGACTATGAATTATTATCCAAGCTAAAGAATTATCCTGAAATCTATTATATAATGTTTTCTGTATTCATAATGGCAATGTGCATTTATAGCGAAATGCGTTTCTGTATATGTCAGAGCTTACAATCTACTTAAAGTAGTTTTAGTCGTTTTTGTTAATGTTTCAGTGTGGGTCAAAAGGCTCGAGAACTAGGATAGCTCAACACTTCCAATTCGTCAACTGGCCCGACAGAGGGATGCCTCCCGATGTGGCTTCTCTGGTGGAGTTCTACTTCAAAGTGAAGAACACACCTACACACGGACAGGGACCCATGGTTGTGCATTGCAGGTTTGTATATATGCAGGGACAATACGAGTCACTTGTCCAAAGCAGTCTGTCGATGTTACAAGGGGGACTGTGCTCCTTGGTCTGGTCCCTGTGTCCAGTCTAGGTCTAGAATTTGTAACTGATGCCATGTGTGAAACTTAGACTTTTAGTATTCAGCAGCAGCTAGATGGAGTTTAGGACAATCAGTCGTGTGTCAAATCACGAAGTTACCTAGAAGGAGATGGAAGGTAGACTGAACCTGTACATACTTAGTTAGGGTTTCAATATTTGCTTTTGTTGCAATTTCAGCACTGATTATCATTAGTTCATTGGGTCTAGTGATACTGTTAGAATATTTCATCTAGGGTAGCAACCATACACGTCACACCTGATACTCTTAACTAATGTTGTAGTGAATGGGTATTGTTTAACGCAATTTCCCAGCAATTTCATGACAGAGGACACCAGATATCGGCTTCACACATTGTACCCATGTCGGGAATCGAACCCGGGCCTTCGGCGTGACGAGCGAACGCTTTAACCACTAGGCTACCCCACCGCCCCTCTATTGTTGTAAGGTCCGTACAAGTGGACATTGATAGAACCACGATGGATAATTCGGAATTTATCATGACTGTCACATTGTCTAAATACTTAACAACGAATCGTGAGTACGAACATTAACCGTCCAGACGTCCGAAATGTGGTATTTAAGCTGCTTTCAGAATAACCTTTACGTATCATTGGGTTGTAGTGATGGTGTTGGACGAACTGGAACCTTCCTAGCTCTGTGTTACCTGATAGACGAGGCCAAGTCATCAGACACGGTGGATCCCTTCAGCTGCGTCAAGGGGATGAGGCATGAGAGAGTCAACATGGTGCGGACACTGGTAAGAGAGTTCGGTTGAAAGTCCACTCGATGTCTGGTATACTAATTTAAAGAAGACCATTAACGGTTATATAGAACGCCAAAGCAAGAGAACAACCAATCTTGATTATCGGTCGAAACAGATTCCATTTGGCGTTAAGGGCAAAATAATTGTGAAAATTTAATGAATTGACCAATGAAAATCAGTGATGACACCAAGTGTTCGCAAAAAGGGGAAGCACCCGCATAAGGTAGAACCCGGGATTCACACAATCTTCATAAAAGGTAAGTATTTATTGCCTGACGCGGCACAGCAGTACTCCTGCCAGGCGACGGCGGCCGGAAACAAACCAGGTCGATGGATCAGAAAATCCAGAGGCACGAATTACATAAACATTGCCAAATTACTTGTAACACAATCCACCAAAGAAGGAACGCAACAGTGTAAAATGTGTGTCAGCTTGTGTTAAATGTGCTGCATTCATTACAGGAACACCCGTGAAGATCCGGGGTAGAATACGTCTTCAGCCACCCATGCTTGCCGTAAAAGGCGACTATGCTTGTCGTAAAAGGCGACTAACGGGATCGGGTGATCAGGCTCGCCGACTTGGTTGATACATGTCATCGGTCCCAATTGCGTGGATCGATGCTCATGATATTAATCACTGGATTGTCTGGTCCAGAGTGCGGCGTTAAACAACAAACAAACAAACAAACAAACAAACATTACAGGAACAGTACGAGTTCCTCCACAATGCCCTGATTGAGGCCCTGATGGCTGGGGGAACAACCGTCTCCAAATCAGACTTCAAGACCTGCTATGACAATCTCCTACAGAGCAATCCAGAAACAGGCATCTCCAGGCTTAGAGAACAGTTTGAGGTGAGTATGTTTTAGGTAGTTGCGGGATATGCTCTTACCATGTATAGCAAAGCAGTCATAGAACCTTGACTGTCAGTGTCATAGCTCCTTTACTTTCCGATGACAATCAGACAGGTTTGACTGTCCTAGCTTAAGAACTTAACTCGCATAACTATTGTAGTGCAGGTGGATAGATGAAGCTCTGTGAAAATATGGTCGAAAATAATTATCAGAACTGATGAAATAGATTAGGAACTGGCCATTTGGTAATAGAAGGGGTGGGGGTTACTGGAAATAATAATTTTGTTGTGGAATTATAACAGAAAACCTTTTCAATTGAAAGTGTGGTGGCAAAACAATAAATATTGACGGAAATAGTAACTCTATTCCTTTAAGGAATGCATGCTCAGTGTTTGGTGATTAAGGACGTTTTATCCTGTAGACCCTCCAGTTGATGAAGCGTCCCTATAGACTGAAAGAGTACCGAACTGCTATGCTGCCAGAAAACATCTCCAAGAACAGGTTCAAGGACATTCTAGCATGTAAGTTGGTGATACTGGTTACATTCATTTATGACGTATTAAACTCTGAAGTCTCTATTTTAATGTACAATCAAAGTTCAGCGTATTTGCCTTTTTGTTTCATTTTCACATGTTTATAGAAGGGTAACTTTGTTCCTTAAATAGCTGACAGTCATCGACCAGTCCTGTCGAGCAGTACACTGGAGAGGACGGATTATATCAACGCCGTCTATCTGCCGGTAGGTAACCACAAGAACGCAAGTCAGTGAGAGAAAGGATCAATAGGTTAAGAAATGTACTTACTGTTTTACAGTGTACCTATTACATTTTTCAGTATATATCGGGATTGCTCAAGATGTCGGTAACATATCTCTATTTCTTGATGTCTTCAAACAGAGATTGATTGCTGGCTATAAACAAGACTGTCATTTTTCCATATAGCGAATCGTTAGCATTCTATTCTACTTTGTGACGTGACTTCAAAACAGAAGACTATAGTGAGTGAGTTGGGTTTAACGCCGCTTTTAACAGTATTCCAGTTATATCACGGCGTGTCAGCTCAATGTGGGAGGAAAGCCCGAAGTGATGCAGGTCTCGGACGTTTACCACTTCGGTGAAACCCACGAGCACGGGTATGGTGCTGACAAACCTAGAAACATAATCGGGGCGAACAGGGATTCGAACCAACAATCATAGGTTACTGGCGTGCCAAAGGGACAAACTCCGCACAGCGAATCGCGGCGCCTCAGACGACTGTGCCACCAGAGAAGACTATATCTATGATGTTGAAATAATTAACTATAAGGAAACATTGCTTAAATTTCGAAGTTGGTATAATGCATTAGGCATTCACAAACTTACGACTGTTCTAAATAAGAATATTCTAAGTATTGAATGCTGGGTCAGAAGATGAAGAACATGTATACTTGCACTTTCCCCAATATAATGATATTCGCTCTTCGTGTTCTTCCTCTAATATTATTCATTGTCATGACAGAAGATCCATTGTTCATCAAATAATAAGCAAACAATATTTATGCTTGCTACGTTTGTGTATAATATGTTCACGATCCATGGAAACAGAACAAGTTATAAGCAGCGCATATGTGTACATTATATTAAAAAGTAAATGCATGTGGTGTATGGGTCTGTTGGCCTTCAGAGCAGTAAAAGATGGTCATTGCCATTGTAGTAATGAACAGTCTCTACATTTCTATTAAGTTTATTTTCTGTTCAAGGTAGTGGGGACTAGATAATTAGGCATGGGTACAATGTGTGAAGCCCTTTTCTGGTGTCCGCCCGTGATATTGCTGGAATATTGCTAAAAGCGGCGTAAAACCCAATTCACTCACTCTATTTATTCAACTGTGTATACGGTCTGAGATAGGCTCTGTAAAATATATATTTCAAGACGTGGGTGTCTACATGTGACTGTAGCAATGAACTACAGACGCGGTGATATTAGAGGACGATTTATGTCCCTTGTTCATGTTAAGTGAATTGTTTAACATTTTTATGTTAATGTCAAAAGTTCATCTTCTGTAAAAAATATTAAGGTAGAACATTGCTTCAGAGCATCAAGCACTTGCTTTTTTTTGTTCATTTGTTGTTAAAGGCCGCACTCAGCAATATTCCAGCTATATGACGGCTGTCTATAAATAATCGAGTCTGGACCAGGCAGTATAGTGACTGAAATGAGCATCGATTCACGTAATAGAGACACGATGACATACATCAACCAAGTCAGCGAGCCTGACCACCCGATCCCGTTAGTCGCCTCTTACAAGCATGGGTTGCTGAAGACCTATTCTAACCCTGATCTTCATGGGTCCACGAACCACTGGCTGTGTTATTTGGCGTCATGGTGGATATATAACTGGATGGACATCAGGCATTATGTGAAGACATATTTTTTATGAAATAATATATGTGTGAAAAGTTAAGTTTTTCGAGAAGTGCTACATGCTTTGATGACTTTAGAAACTCATAAAACAACATATACACTGCTACAACGTATAGTATTTAGCGAAGTGTGCATCCATATCTCAGGGTTGCAGGACCACGACGGCCTTCCTGCTGACACAGGTGCCGATGCCAGACACAGTGGTGGACTTCTGGAGGATGGTGATTCAGACGGACTCACAGACCATTGTCATGCTCAACGACGACCACGATGATGCAACGGTCAGACTTTAACTCAATGTAGTGAAAAATTTGGACAATCGAACGTATAACGAGTAATCCATGGTTCGAGACAGACACAGTGCCGATTTCAACCGATATATAATACAATGTGAAACATATAACGTCTCATTTCCAGTGACAGAAATGTAGAATGCAGGTTTTAGAGTCCAAATATTTCAGTTGAGGGAATTCACACTCCGAATCGACTTGATGGATGCTTCAAAAGTAAAAATGATATTTCCTTGTTGAAAAATGAATTTGTCACACAAAGCATCAAAATTACGTGTTAGTTAAATATATTCAAGCAAACATCCAGGTCACCAAGTCTGACCACAAGATCCAATTAGTCACTTCTTAAATAGGTTGCCGGAGCAACAGCGGCCCAGTCGACAAAGGCGCCTCAATTAAATGCACATTTGCGTCCCTGAAACCTATGATCATGGGTTCGAATCCCAGATTCGCCCTGACAATGTTTCTAGGTTTGCCAGCAGCATACCGCTGCCCGTGGGTTTCACAAACGTGGCCTGTATCACTCCGGGCTTCATACCACGTCACACTGTGACGCCAAAACTGAAACACTGCACAAAGTAGTATTTAACCAACTTCACTCAATCACTCCTGCCTTACGTCATATTACGTATTTGTTGTTCGACGCAGCTAAAATGACGTGTGTTTCACCATTCGAAGTGATCAACGTCTAAAACCTCGACACGTTGAGCTTTCCTCCAACATCACGCCGTGATGTTACTGAAATACTGTTCAAAGCGGCGTTAAACCAAAGTCACTGACTGACTGCTGTTAAATATTGTATCCCAGAATCCTCACGGGCTAACAAAAACAAAGAAGGTGTAAGTGAAAATGGCATTATTCAACACAGTCTCTGCTATTAGAGTGTCAAGGCTAGGGAACAAAGTTGTCACAGATGCAAATACGTATGATATAGAATGTGTCAGCTCTGTTCCAGACTGTCGGCTACTACTGGCCACAGAGCTCTAGACAGGAGGTATTCGGGACACACCTTGTGGAGGTGGAGGAGACGGAGAACTACGAGTGCTACTCAATCACCACGCTATCAGTCCGCGAGACTGAAGACGACACAGAGGTGAGACCAGATGGACCCCAACCAGCAAAACACTGCAGCATTCAGGTGGTGAGGTGAAATGGGGTTTAACGTCGCGGAGAAGATCATTGCACTTACATAGCGACGTGCATCAAGTGTGTGTGCGTGTGCGTGCGTGTGCGTGCATGCATGCATGCGTGCGTGCATGCGTGCGTGCGTGCGTGTGTGTGTGTGTGCGTGCGCGCTAGTCCGGACTAATGCCGATTTCACAGTGCTAGCCCACCGAAATACCATACTGCTGTTCAACATGAATACGCCACTCAGACACTACACTGACTCCGAGCTGACCTGTTTTAGCCCCTTAATGCCGAGCGCAAGACAGAGTAGCGACATATTTTACCATATGACGTGGCTGGGGATCGAAACCCGGCCCTTCCGTTCCCCGGGCGATTATTAGATAGATTATTATATGGTCTGTGGGCCCAGTAGAACTGAGAGAGTTCTAAGACTGAGAATGAGCACTTAAATGTAACACTTGCTACACTACCTACAGCAACACCTACAGTATAGCGAAGTATACTTGAGACCATGAAATGCCTTAAAAAGGTGTTATCGATGCGGGCTTTTTTTATAAATAAAGGTGCTGATGGTCTTTTCACTCAGTATAGCAATACTGTATTTGAATATAGTTCTCAAGCAAAGGAAAACAAGGGTTAGTAGTCAGTCATGTGATAACTTTCCAAGCAAGTTTTTAGAAAATGTCGAATAACGTTATACATTATAAGAGGGGCATAATTGCCCCCGTCTGAAAAGAAATAAATTCATTTCAGACCCTTCCCCCGAGAACCATCAAGTTGTTCCGGTGCCACTACTGGCCCCAAGGGCAGACAACTCCCGAGTCTTCCTTACCCTTGCTGGCTATGATAGAGGCAGTGGAAGTGTGGCGTGAAGTAACAGACTTTAAGCCAGTCACCGTCCATTGTTGGTGAGTGTGCACGTGTGGTTCTCGTGGTTATGCACGACAGAACTCTCCGCGCGGATGATCTACAATAATGCAACAAACACAAAATAGAGAATACATTTTTAAAATGTTAATTCAAATACAGTTGATGGCAATGACAATTAAAACGTAAATAGCATTATTGAAATCCATCTGGCGCCCCCTTATCACAGATTATTAGAATGTCGTTTGCCCAATAAGAATGGTCTTCATGACAAGAGATATGACTTTTCAATTGTCAACTTTCCGGTGTCCCCCGCCTTGATATTGCTGGAATACTTCTAAAAGCGGAGAAAAACCATACTCACTCACTCATTACTACCACTTTTGAAAACCTCGTGTTAACGTGACTTTGTACCACGAAAAGCTTCACGCCAACCAATACAGCCTTCAAGCTTCCCTTCATCAACCTATACGCCTGGTTAAGGAGATTTTGCATTTCTTTTTTGTAAAATTTAAACTTTACTAGATCAGGTAAATCTGTCATTCTACGTTAATGAACAAAAACACATTTAAGAAACTATCTGGACATGATCCTGTGTAAAATGTTTTTCCGTGTTCGTAAATGTACAACATGGTATCCAGTGCTACTTTGCCCGAGACTGCATGCAAGAAGATACATATTTGTTTTAAAATTAAACTGATTTTAGAACTGATTCGAACCTCTGTTATATATATTTTATGACTTGAAATAGGTCAATGGTAAGATTGTTTTAAATTAAAATATGATTCTATGGAGATAGTTTCTTTCCTCTTAGATATTTTTCTACGATGTGTATAAATTTCGGTTTGGGAGTTCAGCTTGTTCCCAGTAATCGACCAGACATATAAGGAAGAGAATTTATAGATGTCAACTTCTTTATTATGAGGAAACACAACGTTTCTGAGTATTCACCCCCGGCCTCCCGTTTGCCCATTGCCAATTATTAATCAATGATAATTTAAGGGCTGGCTTCCAGTTGTCCATAACCATCAGCGCTACTGTAAAGTGTTGGCTTCCATTGTCTTTTGCTAATCAACTATCGACGGCAATTATCTGTTGGCCTCAGTTTCCACCTTTTGTTATCTTATTACTTTTGTTGTCCCTCCATGTGGATATACATATTCTCTGCCTAATGGCATTCATTCACCTGATGAAGGAGCAAGCATATACATGTTCTCTGCCTCATAGCAGTCATTCACCTGATGAAGGAGCAAGCATATACATGTTCTCTGCCCCCCCCCCCCCCCCCCCCATCCTTTTTTATTTCGAAAATAATCTTTATTTCTGTATAAATTACCCCCAAATCTTAATTGTGCACCCCCCCCCCCCCCCATGAGCTGTATCCGCCCATGACATCCATACATTCACTTCCTTACATGTATCACTTCTAAATGCCATTCAAAGACTTGACCAGACACATGTTTAAATGTCAAATATTTGGTATAGATCGTCAAATCCCCCTCTGGAAAAACCTTAAAGATGAGACACATAACTAAGTAAGATCGACGTGCTTACTGCTACTAGCTGCATGGCTTTGGGTAAACCCTAAAGTATACGTCATGTGGTCTGCAGATTACTTGCCAAATATAAAAACGATATTGTGACGCCAAAGCTTTGATCTAATGTGTTTATATCAAAATGTATTTTGGTAAATCTGTAACTATGATGTTCACTGTGCCTATCTGAAAGATTGATCATATGTGCAACAAGGCATATGTCGTTTAGGATATTTCCGCTAGGTCTGTGTGATATGAAATGTCGTCGCATGATCCCAATAGACGTACATAAACCACAAACAATGAACGAAGATAGAAATAAACACGAGACGTTTATATAAACGTCGTTGAAAGGTTACCCCACCACTGGCCGCCAGCACGGTGGGTTGTGACTTCACCGCGCTATCATTGCAGTTAATGGTCTAAGGGAGATAATCATGTTATGATATACTTATAATCAATAAGAGTAAAGTCCCTTGCGAAAGCTCCATACAATGTGTTGTCCTAAACTCTCCGCATCGTGTGAAACTTTGCGCGTTCTATAGAGAAATTCAAGCTCCCCACAGCGAAAGCCCATTCACGCACTGACAAGGAGCTTAGACATTTCTCGTTATCTCCCTTGCTACAAGGTCGAATGACGTCATTAATTAGTTCGGACATGCGCATAGCAAACAAATTATTTTAGACTGGTTTGTATGCCTTAGAGCGTTTGCGTTCCTCGACGCATTTCACAAAGCGAAGTACGGGGCACAAGTCTAAGATTATTTTCTTCACACAGTTAGACTACTTCTCTTTGAAAAAGTAACAACGCAGTCTCTGAAGTTTGTATGTAGATACTAAAAGAAGCATGCACAACGGACATTATTCTGTCTGAAATTACCAAGATGTCCCACCGTTTGTACGCGCCGCAAGTTCAGCGTTTTCAGCTGGACAGGATGGCCAAGCTGAATTACTTCCCTTTGACCACAAACTTTACCGCATGGAATAAGAGTGACTGAATTGTCTCCCTTTGACCATGACAAAATCTTTGTAACGTCGCGGATTGTAGATCAGATCAATCTGTCATTCTAATGGGGGAAAAAACATACTGAGTGAGTGAGTGAGTTGGGTTTAACGCCGCTTTAAACAGTATTCCAGTTATATCACGGCGTGTCAGCATAATGTGGGAGGAAAGCACGAAGTGATGCAGGTCTCGGACGTTTACTACTTCGGTGAAACCCACGAGCACGGGTATGGTGCTGCCAAACCTAGAAACAAAACCGGGGCCAACCGTGCCCCCAAAATCATAATGAAAAAACTATATGGACCTAAAACTGTGTAGAAAGCCGTTCATTTACAATACTGTACTCGGTTCCATGTTGCCCGAGACTGCATGTAAGAAGATAAATATCTGGTAAACAATTAAAGTGATTTTAGAACTGATTCGAACTTGTGTTTTATGTCTTATAAGTTGAAATAGGTCAATGGTAAGAATGTTATCAATTACAATATGACTTTATGTTGATGATTTGTCATTCATCTATGTATGCTTTCCTCTTAGATCCTTTTCTACAAAGTGTTTAAATTTCGGTTTTCGGGTTCATATATCGTATAGATCGTCAACGCCTTGAATGGGTATTTTGACATAAGGAACCTTTTTAATGCCCGCGTCTAGCCAAAGAAACGTTAACCGACGTTACTTGTTACCCTGCCCGGCGCTGGGCATTATGTGGACAAAACAGGGTCAGTGTACTGTGTCTGTGTGGGTTATATTAAACTTTGGCATGATACCTCAGTGGGCTAGTGCTATAAAACCGGCATTAGTTCCGACTAGTACAAGCAGCCACACACAAAAAACATGCGCGTCTCTTTAGTTAAGTGAAATAATCTTGAATGTGAAGTTGAACGCCATTTCAACTCACCTCACCTCACTTTCAATCGCCGAGTTACAGAGGACACTTAATTAATTCCTTTCCACACGCCATAAACCGCCATCTGTTTCTACTTATGAACAAACGGAGCTTTGTTTTCTAGGGATGGCGTTGGTAGATCTGGTCTGTTCTGTGTTCTGTCGACCATCTTGGAAAGACTTAAGATTGAGCTTGACATCAGCATTCTGCAGACCATCAACCAGATGAGACTTTGTAGACCTCAGCTCATACAGAACTTCGTGAGTCAAACGTTTGAAATGTGATATTGTGATTGTAAAGAAATTATATTAATCATAAAATTATTTTAATGGACCAACTGTGAAACTGATTCCCTTATTTCAGTTTATAATATTATGGGATATATAGTGATTCACTAACATATATTTGTGTACTTTAGAATATGGCTGTAAAATCTAATCCTGCCGTTTCTTATTTCTCTCTAATTTGGCCTAAACAATATGCTACTCTCAAAACTTCTCACAGTCAAACATCTCCTCTGAAATCGCTTGACAGCCAATGTGGTCGTTTACTTCAAAATACTTCAAAAAATCAATTAAGGATGAGAGTTGTATGGAGAAGATACGCTTCATCTCCTTGCCCCTTGGGCCAAGTGTATATGTGAAAGTTATGAGACACAATTAACTTATTTGTCAAGACCAAGCAGGACCGAATTAAAACAGTTATATTTATAGAATAACCCAGGAGCTACGTGGAATTGCGGAGTATCTGTACAGAGGGAATTCTGTCAACAGTTATTCGCGAGGGACAGGTATTCCGTGATTCCGAGTAGGCTACTCTTTATATTACCATGTCTTTTTGTTTGGTTCTGAGAAAGAGTAGAAATAGTAAAGACATCGGTTCAGTTAGTCTGTTATTGGAACGTTTGAAATGTGATATTGTGATTGTAAAGAAATTATATTAATCATAAAGTTATTTTAATGGACCAACTGTGAAACTGATTCCCATGTACAATGGGATACGGCATGTTTGCGACAATGCGTTCATATGACGTCAATACTCTTTAAAAAAGTAGGGCATCCTCGGAAATAACTTTAAATTTACAAACTTGTTAGAGACATTAGTTTCTAGTAATAGTTGTATGAACGAATTGGGACCACATTACAACCGGTAGTGAAGTATGACTGTAGATGTTATGACCGACGGTCTTGAAGGACGATAGGGGTAAGGGGGGAAAGTTCAAAGTTGACGTTTTTGGATCAGTAGCGCGTAATACTGCAACGATTTGTGAAATATCTACTCACTCGACGAGGAATTCTGCGTATGAGTCTCCCAATGGCGATTTGAGGGAGTCTGTCCCACTCCTCTTGCGGCGCCTGGCCAAGTTCAGCCAACGTGATCGGTGGCCTATGACGTTGACGTACACGTCTCCCTATCAGGTCCCAGACGTGTTCAGTGGGGAATAGGTCTGAGCTCACTGCTGGCCATAGCATTCTATAAATGGTGCTCTGCTATATGTGAGCATTGACGATTCGTGCACGGTGAGTATGGGTGTTGTCGTCCTCAAAGACAAAACGTCCACCCTCACGCCGATTTACGCCAAATTTGTCAAGAGGTCTAAGGTTGACATTGGCTTGACGTTAATTTCGATATCGCCAGACACAACCACGCCTATCAAGGAAGTACAAAGTACAAACATGACACGTGACAAGCGACGATTAACCCTGTATTGACGCTGTGTACTCCATTGACGTCGGTTGGCAATATGACGATTTGAGGGTCGACAGATCACGTGACCGTCGAACATGGATATGAGCTGCATGTAGACGATTTCTAACCGTCTGACATGTAACTCGTATTCCAGTAGCCTGATGAAAATTTGCAGCAATTTGATTCGCCATTTGAGCTCGATTTAGTAGAGCCGGGTTTCGGATCAATCGATCCTGTACCTTAACGGGGTCGATCGTCACCATTTTAGGTTTGTTGGTACCTGTTCCATCGTCTACTAAACACAGGCTGTGAAACATTGAAGGTATTGGCCACTGCACGCTGACTTCTGCCAGTCTCCAGCATGTCAATAGCCCGTCGACGCTCCGCGCCTTGCAGACGCCGCATCGCTAGTTCATAGTTCATACACTAACAATGAATGGAATCGAGTAAATCAAAACCGTATGATAAGCAGAACCAATACAGTTGAAAGAAATATGATCCATTGATATTTTTCGACCTTCTTTGAAAGTGACAAAATCAGGAATGACACCCTACGTATGTGTATGGCGTTACTGCGTGAGACACATGTAAAGCATATTATGAGTTTTAAGCTTTACAGATATCAACATTCTGGCAATAAAAATAATAATACAAACAATCAATTTAGGTGGCAAATAAACATTGTCAAATTACCCCCTTTTAAACACAACATCTGTTAGCATCTGAAGCTAGACGATTTTAAACTACCCTCGGAAAACAGCCAGGACAAAGAGAGCCATTGTTAGCCGTACCTAATCTCAACACTAACACCATCGATATATTCACAGGTGAACCTCAGCCACGCGATATTAAGACAACGTCCGTCACATTTAAAGGATTAGCTAAATGACTTATTTCCGAATTGTAGTTTTGTTTGATTGATGCATCCATTTTAATCTGTGTTAACTGCAGAAGTTTAAACTACGATCATTTTAATGTTTGATTTCAGGAACACTTCCAGTTCTGCTACAAGGCAACACAGGACTATCTGGACACTTTCTCAGTATACTCAAGTTTGATAGACTGAGTAGCGCAGGGCTATCTCCACACTTTCTCAGTATACTCAAGTTTGATAGACTGAGTAGCACAGGGCTATCTCGACACTTTCTCAGTATACACAAATTTGATAGACTGAGTAGCACAGGGCTATCTCGACACTTTCTCAGTATACACAAATTTGATAGACTGAGTAGCACAGGGCTATCTCGACACTTTCTCAGTATACACAAGTTTGATAGACTGAGTAGCACAGGACTATCTCGACACTTTCTCAGTAAACTCAAGTTTGATAGACTGAGTAGCACAGGGCTATCTCGACACTTTCCCAGTATACTCAAGTTTGATAGACTGATTATCACAGGACTATCTCGACACTTTCTCAGTATAATCAAGTTTGATAGACTGAGTAGCACAGGACTATCTCGCCACTTTCTCAGTATACACAAGTTTGATAGACTGAGTAGCACAGGGCTATCTCGACACTTTCTCAGTATACACAAGTTTGATAGACTGAGTAGCACAGGGCTATCTCGACACTTTCTCAGTATACTCAAGTTTGATAGACTGAGTAGCACAGGGCTATCTGGACACTTTCTCAGCATACACAAGTTTGATAGACTGAGTAGCACAGGGCTATCTCGACACTTTCTCAGTATACACAAGTCAGATAGACTGAATATCACATGGCTATCTGGACACTCGTCAGTAAAAACAAATGTTGACAGACTGATGAAATAAGGCGTGTTGAAGGCTGCTTTTAGCAGTATCTCTGTTACACCAGGTTGGCGTGTAAGTATTAATATGTCTTAAAATGTAGTAAACATGTGCATACAAACTCTGTATCAGGCATGTAGATTGAAAGAGATAGAAGAATCGATAGATACATGTTGTAAATATATGTGAATGTGTGTGTGTGTGTCTGTGTGTGTGTGTGTGTGTCTGTGTGTGTGTGTGTGTGTGTGTGCGCGCGCGTGTGTGTGTGTCAACTGTGACATTACTGTGTATAGATTTACCTTCACAATCCTTAAATAACTGTACAAACCTCTTAGCTGCATGTTTACATGTTATATATCGCTTCTGAGTTTCTAATCTATCAGACGTTTTCAACAAATCGTTATTGTTTATTGTTTTATAAGTAGCTTGAATGTCCATGAAGCAAAATAGTGGTGGATGGAAATGTATTCGCATTTAAAATAATTTTGTGGTAATGTATATATATTCATATAATGTATAAAGATGTGGGACTTGTGTTGATGATTATTATTATAAGACACAGTTTCAGTCTCGTTCTGTTTTGTTTGATTTGGATACTTTCTTATCACATTTCCCGTTGAGGAGGAAGACAAGTGTATTAAAGAATCATTTTTAAAATCTCAATTTCTTTATACTTGTTTCATTTTCCTTACTTTACATGGCATCAAGTCATGCTTGAAATTGGGACTTTTGTATATGGTGATTTGCATCCCTTTTCAGAATAAGGGTGGTTTACCTTATATGGTCATTTGGACACCGTCAGTAAATTTCAAACGACATCAATCATCGCCTTTGATCCATGGAACATTAATATGGACCAGAAACCGTATAAATAACATCAAAGTTGCCAATCTGATAACCTTCATATATTTGAGTTCAGTTACCAATTTTCTACCTGGTTCATCTCACACTGGGTACACACGTTGACCTTCATATATTTGAGTTCAGTTTCCAATTTTCTACCTGGTTCATCTCACACTGGGTACACACGTTGACGAAATGGGATGTAATAACAGAGAATCATAAATGTTTTCCCGCTCGTCACTTTAAATCTGATAGTTGTCATATAGATGCAGATGGGAGGGCCGGAGAGAGGGAGTGAGAGAAAGTTTGATATGTCTGTTTGATAGGCTGAACGGTATTGTGGACTAGGGATGAGACTAGACCTATTGCTGTAATACAGGTGTAGGAGGTATATCAAGAGGTGCAGCTGAGGGTGACTCTGAAGCTGTGAGTCTGCATAGCGACGTTCCTCATGGTTGGTTGGTTGGTTGGTTTGTTGTTTTACGCCGCACTCAGCAATATTCCAGCTATATGACGGCGGTCTGTAAATAATCGAGTCTGGATCAGACAATCCAGTGATTGATATCATGAGCATCGATCCGCGCAACTAGGATCGATGACCTGCATCAACCAAGTCAGCGAGCCTGACCACCCGATCCCGTTAGTCGCCTTTTACGACAAGCATAGTCGCCTTTTACGGCAAGCATGGGTTGCTGAAGACCTATTCTACCCCGGATCTTCATGGGAAAGAGACAATGTCAATCATATTCAACTATCCTTGATAATTGATAAAACCATGTTTGCTTCATACCCGATTAGCTTGTATGTCTGAACTGCACACGAATAGCGACCGATCCGTCTGTAAACTCACAAGCTGTTACATTAAGTGTAGTACTGCTGGAAGAGTATGCCACACCATACATGTAGAACCGAGAACACACCCTACAATGAGACTGTGGCCATACTTAGGTCAACTCTTCAGCTCAGTCAAAATTTTAATGGCTGTTGCAGATATTCCTGCTTGAGAAGCCGTTCCTCAATTACATATAATTACAACACAGTACAATACACCTATCTGGTATGAAAGTTCTTTTGGCAAGTGAGTGTCAATGCTTGTAGGGCAGGACATGCTTAGCCTGTTTGTGAACACCTGGGCCCCGTTCCACAAAGCGATCTTAGTGCTACGTTGATCGTAAGCCTATGATAAAGTATGGGAGTTACGACCAACTTAACACTAAGATCGCTTTGTGGAACGGGGCTCTGGTGTCATCACTGATTTTCAGTGATTCATTCACATAATTTTCGCCGCTACAGTAAACTACGTTTATATCGAACACGCTTACATTGTATTACGAACTGACCGATATAACGAACTTAATTTTAGTCCCGGCCCCATGTATATATGCCGTAGATATGCTTATAACGAACAATGGTTATTACGAACTACAATTAGTGGTCCCTTTGTGTTCGTTATAACCATAGTTTACTGTATTTTGCCTTTCACGCCCAATGGAATCTGTTTCGGCGGGTAATCGAGACTGGTGATTCTCTGTCGTTGACGTTTTCTTGAAGGAATCCTCTCCGTGAGGTTAGTGTCACCGAATTTACCATCCTGCCTGGCCGACTGCAGTAAACATCACATAATGAACTAGTATAAATCAGAACTTAAACCACACTATAAAAATGTGTTGAGAATTTTAACAGATACAAGACATGTTAAGAAAAGTGTTTTAGTCCAAATGATATGCACATTTGATGTGTTCAATCTAAACACGTTTGAGCACATGAAATGAGCTAACGTCTCATAGCCTAAACACCACCTAAGCACAATATTTCCATAACTCAAACATGTTTCGAATTTAAACACATTCAAACATATTTAGAATTTAAACATGTTAAATAAAGTGCATGTCAAATGTGGATGAGATGGATAATTTATCATCCAAAACTTGCTCCCACAGGAGATATCGCTTGGGTGAGATCAAGCAGATATCGCTGCAATGAAATTGCATCACAATGCTTTGCAGACCATTGTGACGTCATTGGTTACCATGACGTCACAATCAAATGACATCACTAATGATTCCGCTATTGAAGCTGTTAGCAGTCCTTTTTTATACACTTAGACACTGTCTACAAACTGAAAAAGTTAGAAGAATGATGTTTGATGATAAATAAAATCTCACCCTCGTGTCTTTTGATATCAAATATATCAACACTCGTTGATAAAAGTGGAAAGGATCCTCGACAAGCCTCGGAGTTTTCCCACTTTTATCAACTCGTGTTGATATATTTGATATCAAAAGACACGAGGGTGAGATTCTCTATATATAGTGAACTTAGATGTGTATATCAGATTCACAGGCACTTGCATAACACATAGACCACCACGACTTGGTACACTATTCGCAGAAAATTGTACAAATATTTCAAGCTGATGGGGACGAGGAAAATTGGCACTTATGACGTCGACAATGTACGTAGCACAGGTGGTAGCGTGACGGACGACAAACCAACAGGTTGCATGTTCAAATGCCAACGAGGTTTAAATTTCTTTGTGTTTATCAATGTTGTGTTGCTGAATGACAAATCGTATTTCACTCATACAGGAATCTGACAATGAAAGAATGACCTTTTTTAGTTAGTGACGACAGGCCACCTAGTTAAAAAATACTAACTGATTTAGGTGACTAACATGTTAGTGTCTGAGTGGATAGTGAAATTCACTAAGTAGGTAAACTTTTCAAATTATTTCTGTAAGTGCATAATCATTTTTTTATGAACATGTCAAGGATCACTTTCATGTCTATTTCCTTTACGGCGTCAATTGTGACTTTGTCCATTGTGTCAATTAGTGTTTGTTCCTGTTTCTTTAATGGCGGTTTTGTTTTTGTAAGCCTGATTAAACATATTTCCTTTAGACCCAGGAAAGTGACCCGAAACAATCTCACCAATAACGTAATAATTATAATAATAATAATAATAATGATAATTAAAGCTGCAAGCAGCAATGGCGGGCTCCAAGTTACACTGTGCACAAACGTCCATGTTCGAATCCTTAAAGGGTTTCCTTGTACCAAATCCGTCACAAGTAGGCACAACTTGCAGGGTATTGCCGCTACGAAATTGGCGTGTGCTAAGTCTGTTTTAAACCCATTTCCGACATCAAACATGTTCGAATCCTCAAAGGGTTTGTTTGTACCAACTCTGTCAAAAGATAGTCACCGTTTGCAGGACATTGGCGTGTTCCAGGGATGTCCCAAATTCTAATCAAATATTACCACCAAGTGTTGTTACTTTTTCCATGCACCCAAGAACAGAAAATAAGATGCATATGATACACTAACTTCATGTAAACTTGCAATAGTTTCTGTCAACACGCTAACAAGATATGATCGTTAAAGTAAAATTTCGGTAATTTATTTTATCAAAATCAAAAGCCAATACAACCGCAACTAAAACAGATATCCCAAAACGGCTATGAGAGTTTGCTGTGTTGTGTGTGGAGACAATTCTCAGAAAATTTGGAAGCATTTTATGCAGTGGATTCAGAGGAGATAGGATTTGAAGACAGGTACCCAAAAGACACTGTGAAAACCTTGAATCCAATATGGCTGCCAAACCATGTGACCAATGACCAAAGTCGAAGAACAAAAAATGTCAAGCAGCTCAAGCAGCAGAAACATGCAAGTTTTCAAAGTAATCGGATAAGCGGTTGCGGAGCAATAGGGCGAAATACATCTTTTAAAAAATCCTTGTCTTTTAGTTATCCGCCCTTGGCCTTTGGGCCTACGGCCTTGGGTTTTTGGCGGGCACTAGTACCCAACGGTCTTCATACTCATACAAAATTTGAACAAAATCAAGCCAGTGGTTTGTTTGCTAGCTCTGGTACAAAAATCGGCGGAATAATAATAATATTAAATCAAATGCTAACACTGGGACTCTTCAGCCTTTCGGCTTGGGGACTCTTTAACAGGCTGTAACTTCTTTGTCAGTTGGGCTCCAGTCAAACGGATTAGCGTTCTGCGTTCGTCCGGGCCCCGGGTTCCTGTCGCATTGCTGAGATAAAGTGTTAAACTTGTTTCCGACCTCATTCATATTCGAATCCTCAAAGGGTTTACCTGTACCAACGCCGTCAAATGTACGGAACCTCTTGTGAGACATCACCACTACTAAATTGACATGTGCCTGGGTGTCCCAGGATGTTTTAACCAATTTCCAACTTCGACCATGTTCGAATCCGCAAATGGTTTTCTTGTACCAACGCAATCAAATGTAATAAACCGCTTGTGAGACATCACCACACGTGTCTCAGGGTGTTCTTAACCCATGTTTGACTTCGACCATGTTCGAATCCGCATATGGTTTGCTTGTACCAACGCCATCAAATGTAATGCACCGCTTGTGAGACATCACCACACGTGTCCCAGTGTGTTCTAAACCCACGTTTGACTTCGACCATGTTCGAATCCGCATTTGGTTTGCTTGTACCAACTCCGTCAAAAGATAGTCACCGTTTGCAGGACATTACCGCTACCAAATTGGCGTGTGCCACAGTTTCCCAGAGTGTACTAAACCAATTTCCGACCTCGACCATATTCTAATCCGCAAATGGTTTGCTTTAAACAACGCCGTCAAAAATAAGGTACCGTAGCAATTGGCAATTGAGAAATGAAGAATCAAGCCAGCGAGTCTGACCACCCAATCCGATTAGTCGCCTCCTGTGACAAGCATAGTTGCCTCTTGAGACAAGCATCGGTTGAAAAGACCAATTCTCCGATCTAATCCTGGTCGTCAAGGGTAGTGTACATAATACCGAACAAGACTGTGGAAAACGCTTG